TATTCAATTGTAGCTTTTGTAACACCTGTAGATTTCGCACCCACCTTAGAACTTACTAACTATTTAAAGCTAGTTTATCTACAAGATAAACCTAACAGGGTGGTCCATGTCTCACATATGTATTCACCTGCATGTTTGGTAACTTCTTATCTAACTAGTACATGTTATACTGTCGCTACTAGGTTCATATCTTAAGCCAACTTTTGGGTGCTGCTGTAACCCGATCCGTATTTCAAGCACAACCTTTCTAATTAGTTGCTTATTACATACTTACTGCCCTTGTAAGGTTTCTAACAACCCCAGTACCCAAATTTAGAACTATCTCCTTACTCAGATTCTCTATCGGCTCCTCCCTTACTTCCAGCCAGCAACCTGGACAGGTTGGTCTGCCCAGGCTTTTATCAGAAAAACTAAATAAGTGCAAATCTGCAAAAATCTACGAAAATGCAAATTTTTGCAGAATTTTTTGCAAAAAAACTGCAAAATTTCCTATATTTTGAAATTTTGCACAGAACTGCATTTAATTTCTATAGCTATAGCTAGTGAGTTTGAAGTTTTGCACAGATTTTCATTTAATATATTATTTAATTTTTTTGCAAATCTGCGCAGAAAAGCCCTAAAAAATTTTTTTCGATGTTAGATGCCTGAAAGATGCCCTCCCCTTGGTCCATACTTTCAGAGCATATGCCCTTTTCCTCTTGTGTGTTGGCCTGGCAGTTCAGCTAGTGTGTCCCCCCACTTAAGAACCTGATCACTCAGTTCTCTGATTTCAGGCCCCAGTTCAAATTTAGTCTTTCTGTAGTACTGTCAAAGATCATTGCTATATCCCAACTCAGAACTTGCCAAATGAGTTTTTAGTTATTCTGGTTCCTTGGATTTATTGTGCCAAAGCTCCATTACTAAATGGTGTGACTGAGATTACAGATTAAGATTCAACTAATAATCGACAACTGTTAACCATAACACAGATCTATTTTTCAAAATCGTCGTTTGTGGGATTCAAACTCTAGATTTGCCGCTTGAAGAAGGTGACAACTAAACCACTACACTAAGTCGCCACACCTCTAAATAAATAAATTAATATAATAATTTTATTTGTTGTATAACTAGTAAATTTATCCAAAAGTGATTTTAAATTTTGGCCTGAATTAAGCTTAATTCAGGCTATTATACTTTTTATTATTTAATAAAATTTTGTGCAGATTTATATATTTTTAAAATCTGCACAGAATTTGGTAAAAATTTTTCTCAATCTATTTGTATAGAGTGCAAATCTTTGCAGATTTTTGATTACTATCAGGTTTTAAAAATCTGTGCAGATTTGTATCTAAAAAATTTTTTTGATAAATCCACTAACAAACTATATTTATCTAGGAAAACCAACTCCCCCAAGATTTTGATATTACTCTTCTTATTACTACCTTCCAGCAGCTAAGGAAGCTGACAAAAATCAGGTGATTTTTTAGAGAGGGGAGTAAAAAAAGTTGAAATTATATATAGGAACCTAACTATTTGTATATTAAAGAAAGGGGAGGGGGGTAGGCCTCTGATAAAAAATAATTAGGTGATTAATGACACTGCCCTAATCAGCACAGCTAGATTATTAAGAAAGCACTTTTTCTTTTCCCAGTTACCTTCTAACTAGATCCAAATCCTATCTAGCAAAACAGATAGCAAGACAGATTCATCTAATACCCCATAGCCTCTTCCTGAGATCCTAGCAGAGATTACAAAATTAAGAAAAATACTTATATCTTATAGTATTAAGTTAAAACTTCCAATTTAGACCCAAGCAGAGGTTACATTTACTATGAAAGTGCTAAGACAACACTTTACAGTTAAGACAATCTCTAACTTTATTCTGGAACTCCCACCTCTACCAAAACCTAGCTGGACAAATTTTAACAATATCACAGAACAACTTATATCTCTTAGTACAATCCAATTATTAGCTATTGCTATCTTCCAAATAGCTAATACTACAAACACACCTACTGAAATAGCAAGCTCCAACCCACCAAACAACTTTATACCAATAGACACAAACTAACTACTTAATAAGTAACTATACTAGTGATTTAAACTAAGAATTTTCCTTAATTAGTTAACCAAACTGAATTATTTTATTCAACCAGTTGCCAACCAATTAAGATTAAGATTAATATCTATACTACATTTGAAATTCTTGAAGTTTATACTAATTTTGTCTTGTCTTTTATGTTTATTTATTTTTTGTTAGAACTTTTCAGATCCTTTACTCTCTCTCTAACTATGAACTCTAAATCTAACTCTAACCCTAACTCTCTCATACTATATTAATTCTACCAACTGGTTGTATCAGATCAACTACTTAAGAATTTTCTCAACTGGTTACTCAAAATTTATTTGATTTGGGTTAGTTAACCGATTATGGCTTACCAATTCAAGTCACTAGACTATACAGACTCTGTACAACTTCATCCACTTACACTCTCTATCTGTATTATACATGCTGATGAAATTATTTCAGGTTCAAAAACCCAAAATTAAAATTTGAAGACAAAATTGTTTTTGACCTATTTTACTTAAAAAACGAAATTTTTTGACACTTTTTTTGAATAAACGAAATTATAAAGAGTATAAATATATAAATTTTATTCGCTCTTTCTTATAAAAAATTTTAATTTGATCTAATAGAAACAAAATAGACCTTTTTTGAAAATCAATTTTGGTGGCATCACTAATCTGTATACACAATGTACAAGATCTTAATTTAAATACCAAAAAAGAGATGTGGGAACACTACTGTCTGCAGCAAAGTCTCGATATCATCAACCAAACTTTCTAATAAAACAACATAATATAAATGACAAAAAACCAATGCTATATCTATTTATAGTCATGCATAAATGGACCTAGAGCTAGAACTACAATTATAATCTGGAATAACTTAATGCTACATATCCACAATATTAGCATAGTCACAGAACATGCTATTGCAATAGATCTTTTCTTTAAACATAACTTCAAATTTCGTATTATCTCTCTTTATCTACCTAATAATAATGCACAGCTTTGACTACAAGTTCAAAACACTGTGATACAATAGATATAGCAAGCCCAAGCACAAAAGATTCTTCAAATTACTCTAGGAGATTTCAATATCTCCACAGAAAATATATACTTACAATCAATTAAATTTAAACTTCTCTAATATTTAATATATAACAATATATATAATTTGGTCTTATATTCTAACAAGTTAGTGCCTACATGGCATAGAGCTAATCTTAGCAGTAAATTTGACTATATTTGAATATATTAATTATTTTATAATATTTTACAGAATATAAGATAGATGATCCCAACATTAGTATATTAAGTGATCACAAAATCTTAATTTCTTAATAGCTTTTTTCTTATATCACAACAGGACAAAGAAGACATAAGACTTATATTAAAAGAAGAATTTTTGACTACAAAACTATAAACCAAAAAACATGGGAAGACTTTGCAAATCAAGTTAACTCAAATCTACTACTATACTGTACTCCTCTTTTTTTTTTTTTTTGTCAAATTCAGCAATCTTGCCAACATTTTATTAGAATAAAATATTAAACTCACAGGTAAAATATCAATTTTGACTCAAGTCACCTTAAGCCCATCTAAATCACAAGTGTTTGCTAACCTGGTTATTCTCAAGTGAATACCTATGTTCAATCTGCTATAGTAAATATTTATCTTCATATCAAAAAACCCTGCAAGTAAATTCTTCAATACTTCACTGAATGGTATTTACAGCCTATCAAGACTGCTATCTTTTCTAAACCTTCTTCCCCTAGCTTCGCAAGCAGAAGGATTTATAGTCTCCAACTGACTTATGAAAAAAAAAACTAATACTAAAAAGATAAAGAGAACAACACGAAAGAGAGGAATAAAAAAACTGTCTAAGCAACAAAAAAATGAAAAAAATAAAAAAATAAAACAAGAAGAAAAAGGCAGAAAAAAAAACAAGTTATGAAAGCACTATTATAGCCCGTGCTAGACACAAGTTGTAAAAATTATATACTAAATTTAAAAATCTTGTATATCTCTATTATAAAGCTAAGCTTTATTATTAAAATTTCTTCCGACTTTACTATCCAGTCCAGGTCGGTTCATTAACCAAAGCGCCAATTGGTTCATCACGTGGTGTAGGTCATTATTGCCAAAACAATTCTGTATTTATGTCCTACTTCGTTCGTCTGAAAATGAAAGTGTAAACAATGCCGATCTTTTGGAGAGAGTAAGCTAAAATGTCTACTTTTTGTTGATATTTTTGTAAGAGTGGCAAAAAAGTTAGTGTTGTTAGTCAAAATTGTTTTAAGCTATGTAGAAATATTTTGACTTTCGATATTTAGCATGTCAAAATTCTAAATTAATGACATAATTCTAGATAGTGTTGAAATGTCTAAATAGTGTCGAAATGTCTAAATAGTGCCGAAATATCTAAATAGTGCCGAAATGTCTAATAGTGCCGAAATGTCTAAATAGTGTCAAAATGTCTAAATTATCTTTATATAAAACATTTTAAAATTATTATATTCATGATAAATAAGATTATTTTAGATATAATACATTTGTAATAACTAATCCCAAATAATAGTTAATACTCTAGAAACAGAGTTGGCAAAGAGTATACAAGATTTAATCAACTTATTAGTAATTGCTTTGTAGATTCTATATTTTATTAACAATTACTTATCAACAAGTTTATTTTAATAACAGTTTATTTTACCGAAACTCATTTTATAAACAAAGAATTAGAGTCAAAGTTAGTATAATTTATAAAAAAAACTTGTTGATAAAATGAGTTTTGGTAAAATAGACTATCCTTAAAATAAACTTGTTAGTGAATAATTGTCAATGAAACGTAATTTCTATTAAGTAATTGGTAATATAAAAAATAATAATATAAACTTAAGTACTAAAATCTTTATTTTAAAAAATAAATATTATACGCTAACAATAATCTAAAAAAATTATTGTGTACTATATATTAACCCTTCAACCTCCGCACCAAATTGGTCTTCATCAAAGTCTTCAATATCGAATTCTTCATTATCTATATTCATATTATTATTTATATTTATATTGATATTCTCATCTATATTCTCACTATTAACATCTTGTTCTGTATTATTTAAATTTATAAAATTTTCAAGTTTTAAGTCTTGATGTTCAATTTCTGGATCAATATAATCAGTTGAATTATCAAAATTATCAAAATCTTCTTTGTCATTAACCTCAGAGAACAATTCAATATCTTGAAAAACAATTTGTATTTTGTCTTCTGTTAAATCTAATCTGTAATAATGTAGTTCTTGTTTAGTATTTGATATTAAATAAGAACTTATTTTTACCATTGATTCAAGATTTTTTGTTTCTAAATTAATATGCCGATCTTCTAAATACCATTTACAACGTGACAATACATGCTCACAACTTGCAGCATGAGGACATACTGAAAACAATTTAATTGCTAAAGAAGAAAGAGAACCAGGCTTTGTTTTAGTATCATCTCCAGTAGTCTTCTACTATCAAATTGGACTATCAATAGTTGATTTATAAGACCTATTATAAGGCTCTTCATTACAAGCATACTGACATATTGAACAATGTTAACCTTATTCCTGTCACTCGCTTTAAAAGATTCAAAGATTATAAATGCTATGAATTTGTATTTCAATAATGCCATGTTAATTGAAAAAAAATATAACTTTCTTACCTTGGCACTGAACAGTAATTTCTAAAACCATAATATACGCGTTTTTTCTGAAAAATCAATAACAAGATATTCAAAAAAAGATCTGTCTTGCTGTAAACAAAAAGGATAAGTGAGAATGAGCAAGTTAATTTATCAGATTTCTGTTCGATGAATTCTCGTGTAAACAAGACAAATGAGTTATAATATTATTACATCAAAGTATATCGATATATATAAATATATATACTATATAGATGCGTACTGTATAACCCTATTAGGCCCAATTAGTAAAAAAAACTGGTTCTGCAGCAAAATAAAGTATATTATATGATTAATATAAAAAGTTAAAGGTAATTAACAATGGCAATTTCTTTAAAAAAAAAACAGTTTAAAAATATATAGGATCTGCAATAGTATAATGTATGTATAGAATTAAAACATGCCTTGCGTACTGTACCTATTTATTAAAATAATATATCAGATACAATATAGATATATATTATATAGTTTACTATGCATATATTAAAACGGATCTCTTGCAATATAAGTGATGCCTATTCTAAATCAATTGATTAATTATACTTTTTATTAATAGTCTCACCTATACTGCAAGAGATCCGTTAAAACTTGATTATGGTGCATTTTTCTCAGTATTAAATAAAATATATATAAGTCTGAGTATATATACTATTTAAGTTAAATAATAAGATATATATATGATGAAATAATTCTTACCGAGTACATATGAAATTAATAAACTTGTAAAAATATGAGCACGCAACTTTCAAATCAAGAAAACCCTAAACAAGCTATACGAAGCCATTTGCTCAAGGTTATGTCTTGTTATTGCTTCCGGAGTTCTTATTTTTAGAGTACGTTTAATTTTAAATCTTAAAAATTATAAGATTACTTTAGAAAATTATCTTCTTTTTTTTTTTTTTTTTTAGCTAAATTCGTATTTTTTTTCATTTTAGATATTAGAATTTATTTTTGGATTGTCAATTAGATCTTTAGAAATTTTATTCCTGTAAATTCTATTTTTTATTTATTATTATTATTGCTTTGCTTCAATATAGTAATGTTCTTTTTAATAAAATTTTATAGCTATGAAGTGGCAAATGTCTACAAAATGAATTTCTTAATGGTTGGTTTTTTTTGCATTGCTACCTTTATTAACCAACAAGAAAATAATCATAGATGTTGTGTTCATTTTAAAAGTTGCGATTTTAATGTGGAATTAGTATTCATTCGTTAACTTTGTCTGATTTTTTTATTTAAATAACGACAAATTCGAATTACATTGGATAGTCTTGTTTATTGGGTATATATATATGCACTCATTAACAGTTAAGTTTTTTGACTCGAGTACGATACCAATCATTTTACATTTATATACAGTCTTATTTGGAATTGAATTTAATATCCATATCCATCGCTTAGCACAATCATGATCTTTTCGTAAAAGTTTAGAACATACACTTTTTTGATTTTTTCATCTATTGTTCATTTTTGAACTTAATTGGCTTCGCTATCCTTGTTCGGTATTTTAAATTGAGCTACATTGGATGATTTTGTTTAGTAGGTATATGTCTAATTTTCATCAGAATTCTTGAATCAA